AGACATGATTTCCCTTTACAGAAACCATGTTGACTTTTGTCCAACAAATTATGTTCTTCTACATGCTTCACAATTTTATTCTTTACTATTGTTTCGACTAATTTGCCCAGTACTGAAGTTAGACTTACCGGTTTGTAATTGCCAGGATCGCCTCTAGAGCCCTTTTTAAATATTGACGTCACGTTGGCTATCTTCCAGTCATTAGGTACGGAAGCCGATTTAAAGGATAAGTTAGAATCCACAGATAATAGCTCAGCAATTTTCCATTTGAGTTTTTTTAGAACCCTTGGATGAATGCCATCCGGTCCCGGAGATTTGTTAACATTAAGTTTTTCTATTTGTTCCAAAACCTCCTCTAATGACACTTCAATCCGGGACAGTTCCTCAGATTCATCACCCACAAAGGACGGTGCAGATTCAGGAATCTCCCCAACGTCCTCAGCCGTGAAGACTGAAGCAAAGAAATCATTTAGTTTCTCTGCAATGGCTTTATCGTCCTTGATTGCTCCTTTTATAGCTTGATCATCTAGGGGACCCACAGGTTTTTTAGCAGGCTTCCTGCTTCTAATGTACTTAAAAACATTTTGTTATTTCTTTTTGAGTTTTTGGCTAGCTGTTCCTCAAAATCTTTTTTTGCTTTTCTTATTACATGTTTACACTTGATTTGACAGTGTTTATGTTCCTTTCTATTTATCTCACTAGGATTGGACTTCCACTTCTTAAAAGATACCTTTTTGTCCCTCACTGCTTCTTTTACATGGTGGTTAGGCCACGGTGACTCTATTTTAGGTCTCTTGCTATGTTTTTTAATTTGGGGTATACATTTAAGTTGGGCCTCTATTATGGTGTCTTTAAAAAGTTTCCATGCAGCTTTCAGGGATTTGGCTCTAGTCACTGTGCCTTTTAATTTCTGTTTAATTAACCTCCTCATTTTTGTGTAATTCCCCTTTTTGAAATTAAATGCCAGAGTGCTGGACTGCTGAGGTGTTCTTCCCTCCACAGGAATGTTGAATGTTATTATATTATGGTCACTATTCCCAAGCGGTCCTGTAACGGTTATATCCTGGACCTGATCCTGCACTCCACTCAGGACTGAATCGAGAATTGCCTCTCCCCTTGTGGGTTCCTGCACCAGCTGCTCCAAGAAGCAGTCATTTAAGCTATTGAGAAATTTTATCTCCGCTTCTCTTCCTGAGGTGACATGTATCCAGTCAATATGGGGATAATTAAAGTCCCCCATTATTATAGAGTTCTTTATTTTGGTAGCCTCTCTAATCTCCCTTAGCATTTCTATGTCATTATTGCTGTCCTGGTCAGGTGGTCGGTAATATATCCCTACTGCTAATTTCTTATTATTGGAGCATGGAATTTCTATCCATAGTGATTCTATGGAACATGTTGATTCACTTAATATTTTTATTTCATTTGATTCTACATTATCTTTCACATACAGTGCCACTCCGCCACCCACCCGGCCTGCTCTATCCTTTCTATATATTTTATATCCCGGGATGATTGTGTCCCACAGATTTTCCTCATTCCACCAGGTTTCAGTGATGCCTATTATGTCAATCTCCTCATTTAATACGAGGTACTCTAGTTCACCCATCTTATTAGTCAGACTCCTAGCATTTGTGTAGAAGCACTTTAAAAATTTGCCACTGGTTATTTGTCTGCCCTTCCCTGATGCATTGGATTCCTTTGTATGCGGTTGTTTGTCTGCTCTGGCCCAGAGATTTTAGGGTGAGTGTGAAGAGTTTGCTCTGAGGTTTCAGCATAGAATTAGCCAAGCAGTTTTGTTTCTTTTGATTTATAACCTACTTTGCTCGGCCTGACTTCACTTATTACTACTTAAATCCTACGGCTTCCACTTCATAAAACCATTTTTATTTTCTGTCAAACCCAGTGTAAGTGTTTGTTACCGGGGCATGGGAGGGGCGGGGGAGGGCAACCAGTTCTCCCTTTCATTGCTAAAGGGGGCTCACCTAATTCTTTGGGGTCTGATCCCACCCGTGGAGTGCTATCCCAGGGAGCCTGGCCCTAAACTGCCTTCGCCTTGGACCTGAAGTGGTTCAGTGTCTGTCCTGATTCTCAGTGGGGGCAGGGACCTCAGCTCGGGGCCTCGGCTGGGGGAGACCAGGGAGCTGGCCCAGCAGGACCGGGCGGCTAGGAGCCCCAGAGAGCAAGAAGGCCAGTGGCAGTGGCCGTGTCAGCTCCGTGGGAGGCCCCCCCGAGGGGTGGTCTGTGACCGTACCCCGTCACAATGATTATTGGTGGTGTGCTGCTACCAGAAGACCAGGGCCAGTTCTCTGCCTGCCCCAGATCTGTTTTCTCCTCACCCCATAGATGACAAGGTTTAGCAAGGGAGGCATTAGAAGGTACACACCGGACGGACTCTGGGCTACTATTCCCAGCGCTACCAATAACTCCTTCTATGGACTTGGGTAAATTACTTTAACACGGATCAGTCCATCCATGACATGGGGATAACACGGAGCTTCTCCATGCAGAGATCCAAAGCGCCATGCAGAGCGTATGTTAGACTCAGCTTCACTGCTCAGCCTCCACCCCTTGGCACTGGCTGTCCTGGAGTCCCAGATAAATGCCATGATGCTCGTGAATTGCCAAAGAGAGGCTGGGCTTTGAGGGAAGAGGAGGGGCAAGGTCATAGTGGTCCAGTTACAAGCAATTCAAAAGGTTGCGGCCGCATGCATTCCCTAGTTCTACAGAGACCTACTCATCAGTTTGTTACCCTAACACAAAGGGGAACGCGTAGTTCAGAATTCAAGGGGGTTTGGACTGCCCACTAAGACATGAAGGGAAGAGAGTCGCGTATCCTATCCCCAGCCAGCTCTGCATGAGCTAAATTTGAAAGCCAGCGCTCCAGAAACATAATTAGCGAGTAAAAAGCCAGAGCAGCCTCTCCCGGATCTGTCTGGTCCTCACCCCGTAGATGATGGGGTTGAGCATGGGGGGCATCAGAAGGTACACGCTGGCAATAAGAACGTGGACATGCAGAGGTATATCACTTCCAAAACGATACGCAAAGGCAGAGAAGTAACATGGGATGTAGAAGGTTAAGATGGCACCAAGGTGGGAGCCGCAGGTCCCAAAAGTCTTGAGTCGGGCATCCATTGTGGAGAGGCTGAAGATGGCCCTGAGGATGTGGGTATAGGACACAGAGATAAAAATCACATCCAGACCAAATACAAATAATAATGCAGAGAGACTATAGTAACTACTGAGGCGGATGTCAGCACAGGCCAGCTTCACCACGGCCATGTGCTCACAGTATAAGTGGGGGATGCTGGTTCTGCAATATGGCCACTGCCTTGCCAGGAGGCTATAAGGCATTACGATCATGCTGCCGCGCAGCACTGCAGCCAGGCCAAACTTGGCCACCACGTAGTTTGTGAGGATGGTGGAATGTCTCAGGGGATGGCAGATGGCCACGTAGCGATCATAAGCCATGGCCACGAAGATCCCAGACTCCATCAGTGCGAATGAGTGAATGAAGAACATCTGGGTGAGGCAGGCACTGAAATCGATCTCCCTGGAATTGAACCAGAAGATGCTCAGCATTTTGGGCAGGGTGGACGTGGACAGGGCCAGGTCGATGACGGCCAGCATGCAGAGGAAATAGTACATGGGCTCATGGAGGCTTGGCTCCCTCTTCACAATGAGCAGGATGCTGAAGTTTCCCAAGATGGCTACAGTGTACATGGTGGAGTAGGGGATGGAGATCCAGACATGGGCTGTCTCCAGGCCAGGAACTCCCAGCAGGATGAAGGTGGAGGGGTTGGTGAAGTCAGTTGTATTGGACTCTGACATGGAGCAGGGAAGAAGGTGTCTGACTCTGAGGCAGAACGGTGTCTCCTTCATGTACTTTAAGTTTCCCTGACTGCCGGTGTGCATCCAGAGTCGGGGGAGATGCTCCAAGTGCCAATACCTGCATGGGGAGACAATGTAGATATGAGACACTCTATGCGCTACTGGAGGCTGTTCTCATGAGGAAGCAGATTGGTCCCTTAACACACTGAAAAAGTCCTTTTTGTTATTCACATGAATTAACTGTAAAAAAACGGACCCTACTATGGCAAAATCTGTACATTGTAGTGCACTCTGACTCACTCCTTCACACACGGGACGGCATGTGAACCCTAAATAAGCACTAGCAGAAACCCACATTCCTGATTATCCCTCCAAAGCACATCTTCAGAAAAAGACCTGGCCATAACTGATAGAAGAAAGACAATTCAGGTATCCCCCATTCCTGTAGAGGTAAGTAACTGCGCACAGGGGCTATGGTTGAGAATGCTTTGGCAGGGACATCTCAGGAAAGAAATTAGGAGACACTATCTACTGGAAGGCATAGGATGCGAAGTCCTAGGGATGGGGTTTCCATGACCACCACCCCCAAAAGAAGAAGAAGATGGGAGGGAATAGAGGAGATTAAGGGGGGACATAAAATAGCATAGCAGATCTGAGATACTTGAAATGGTGCCAGAACAAGATGGGGGGGGGGAAGATATCTCTCTTCATTCGAAGTCAGCACAAGAGGCAATGGAATCAAGCTACCCATTATCAGAGTTAGATTAAATCTCAGGAAAAAAAGACAACCTTTCCACCTATTTTAGGGGAATGAACGGAACAGGAGCACCATTTCTGCCCGTCGTGGCTAATAAGGATTGATGGACCTACTCTCTATGAATTTATCCAGTTCTTTTTTGTACCCTGTTAAAGCCCTGGTCTTCACAACATCCTCTGGCAAGGAGTTCCACAGGTTGACTATGCGCTGGATGAAGAAAAACTGCTTTTTCTTGGTATTTAAATTGTTACCCCTTCATTTCATTTGATGAGCTCTAGTTCTGGTATTAGGAGAACAAGTAAATAACGTTGCCTTTTTACTTTCTCGGCACCTGTCATGATTTTATAGACATCCATTATATCCCCCTTTAGTCTCCTTTTCTAATATCACAGGGTATGTCTACACTACCCTCCTAGTTCGAACTAGCGGGGTAATGTAGGCATACTGCACTTGCAAATGAAGCCCGGGATTTGAATTTCCCGGGCTTCATTTGCATAAGCGGGGAGCCGCCATTTTTAAAACCCCGCTGGTTCGAACCCCGTGCAGCGAGGTGTACTGGTAGTTCGGAATAGGAATCCTAGTCCGAACTACCTAGTTCGAGCCCCGTGTAGCTGCGCTGCACGGGGTTCGAACCAGCGGGGTTTTAAAAATGGTGGCTCCCTGCTTATGCAAATGAAGCCCGGGAAATTCAAATCCCGGGCTTCATTTGCAAGTGCGGTATGCCTACATTACCCCGCTAGTTCGAACTAGGAGGGTAGTGTAGACATACCCAGAATTCCAAATTTTATTAACCTCTCTTCATATGGCAGCTGTTCCAAACCCCTAATCTTTTTGTTGCCCTTTTCCGTACATTTTCTGATACCTAGATATCATTTTTTTTAGAGGAGGCAACCACATCTGTATGCAGTATTGAAGATTTACACAGATGCAATAAGATGTTCTCTGTTTTACTCTCTATCTCTATGATTTATTTGGGATTGGTCCTGCTCTGGGCAGGGGGCTAGACTCGATGACTCCTGAGGTCTCTTCTCGCCCTGGGATTCAAGGATACTAGCCCTTTTGTGGTGATTCCTAATATTCTATTTGCTTTTTTTCAATTGCCGCTGCACACTGAGTAGATGTTTTCAAAGAACTAGCCACAATGGGCTTGTTCAGTTTGGAAAAGAGAAGACTGACAGGGGACATGATAGCAGTTTCCAGCTATCTAAAAAGGTGTCACAGGGAGGAGAGGGGAAAATTGTTCTCGGCCTCTGAGGATAGGACAAGAAGCAATGGGCTTAAACTGCAGCAAGGGAGGTTTAGGTTGGACATTAGGAAAAGCTTCCTACCTGTCAGGGTGGTCAAACACTGGAATAAATTGCCCAAGGAGGTTGTGGAATCTCCATCTCTGGAGATGTTGACGAGCAGGCTAGACAGACACCTGTCGGGGTGATAGAGACGCTTGATGGCCTCTGGAGGTCCCTTCCAGTTCTAGCATTCTGTGATTCTGTGACTGACTTTATGATCTCTCTCCTGAGTGGTCACAGCTGACGTGGTCCCCCTCATGTACACATCTGATGCATTGATCAGCATTAAACTTCATTGCCAGTTTTGCGCCCAGTCACCTGGTGTTCTCAGATCTTTTTGAAGCTCTTCACAGCCGGCTCTGTGTTTATCTCCCCTGAGCAGGTTAGTGTCAGCTGCAAATTTTGCCACCCCGCTGTTTCCCCCTTGCTCCAGAACAAGATTGGTTCCAGTACGGACCCTTGTGGGACCCCACCCGTTACCTAAGGGCGGGACACCACCAGCCAGAGCCTCGAAATACAAAGGGCGGAGGTGAGGTTCTCGGAGCTTTCCCGCAGCCGACTCCTCTGACCTTTTCTCAGTTCTTATTCCACTGGGGAGTTTTGCTTTATTGGGGCCTGAGCAGCGAACAAGCCGCAGCCTCACAGTATGGCCTGGTGTTCTACACCCACTGACGAAGGACCCTGCGCCCCTAAATGCAGCCACCTCAGAGGTGGAGGCCACCAGCCAGGATGGGCAGGGAGGCCCGGCAGAAAAGCGACCTTTGGCCTGTGATTCTAGAAAACACTCATCCAGTGTGGCAGAGCCCGGGGCTGTTTAACTGGTGCGCAGAGCAGAAAAGACCCCAGAGGCGTCCTCTGTGCCACCCACCCACAGAGCACTGGGTTTATCGAGCCGGGGAGCCCCCCAGCTGGAGACCGTACCTGTGAGTGCTGAGAGGGACGTGTCTTCCCTGGGAACCTCCTCAGGCAGCCTCGTCCCCGCCTCTCTCAGCCCAGCGTCTGCAGCAGCGTCCCACACCGAGAGACAACTTAGGGCTGTGCGCTGGTTATATCACAGCTCTGGGCAGTCCCGGGGGGGTTGTCTCAGCCTCTGGGGGAGAAGTGGTCTCTGGATGCAAAAAAGTCACGTCCATGCTCTCTATGTTTGGAAGTAAACAGCAATTAAGGGGCCTTCCCAGAGGGGGAGAACTCGGGCTCGGCTGAGGCAGGAAGGAATTAGCGGCTGTTTGTAATTGTGTCTATTTAACTATGACTGTTGATTAGTAAGAAAATGAGGGCAAACACCTAGCTCTCCACGGAGTCTAATACAATGACACCGCCCAGGACGGCTGGGCAGGCAGCAGACAGACAGATCTGCAGGCAGGTGACGGAGGGAAGACACGAGGACTTTGTGCAGGCACACGGGGCTGCTAGGGTGGGATCAGACATCGGTCGTTCCCATCGGTATCTTCCATCACACTGGGCAGCGCCTTTCACTGACGGATCCCTCGACCACCCAGCAAAGCCAGTTCCCCCGACCTTTACCATTCGCATTCCCACACCCAGCGCTGTCCATGGGACACACCCAGCCCACGTACTTAGCCTCTTTAACAGGGCTCCTACAATTCACAGGCTCTTCTCCTGCTCTTCTATCTCCCTGGAGTCTGTTATTTCCACTCCGGGGGTCTCTCCCACGGAAGCTCCTGATCTTATAGATTGGGGTTAGTCTCTAAGGGTATGTCTACACTAGCCCCCTACTTCGAACTAGGGGGGGTAATGTAGTCATACGGAGTTGCAAATGAAGCCCGGGATTTGAATTTTCCGGGCTTAATTTGCATGATGCCGGCTGGCGCCATTTTTAAATGTCCGCTGGTTCAGACTCCGTGCCCACGGCTACACGCGGCACGGACTAGCTAGTTCGGATTAGGCTTCCTATTCCGAACTAGCTGTACACCTCTTTGCAACTCCGTATGACTACATTAACTACCCTAGTTCGAACTAGGGTGGTAGTGTAGACATACCCTAAGGTGCCACAGGACTACTCATTCTTTTCAAAGTCACAGACTGGCACAGCGACCCCCTGAGACTCTCTAGCCAAGGCAAGGCCCTATGAGCTGTTCCCCATTATACAGATAGGAAAGGTGAGGCACAGGGAGACGTGACCCGCCCAAGGTGACACAGAGAGTGGCAGGGAGAAACAGGAGTCCAGGTTTCCCAGCTCTCACCACGGGCTCTCTAGGAGTAACTGAGCGTATGGCTGGAAGGGAAGGGTCTCCCAGGGCCTGTTCAGTAGGGAAGTGTCACAGGCACCCAAGTGCACCCTGGGACTGGGGCACAGCCGAGCCCTCTGAACCCCAGCCTGGGTCCTTCTCCCACTGCCAGGCTGCGACAAGCTGACCCCAGGGTTTGTTTAGCATCCGTCATCTCCACAGAAAAATACCATGTCCAAGATGGATTCCAGTACCAGGTGGCATGATCACATGTCTTTCTGGGACCAACCACAATTTAGGCTTACAGGACAGACACGGCCGTCACAGGTCGTTGGCTTGAGTTCTGTGTCACTAGGCAGTGATACTTCAGCTACCTGGTAGAATCAGAGGCTGCGTCTAGACTGGCAAGATTTTGCGCAAAGTCTTGCCGCCTGTCTACACTGGCCGTGAGTACTTGTGCAAGAGCACTGACGTTGTACTGTACAAAATCAGTGCTTCTTGCGCCAATACTCTGATGCTCCCGCTCAGGGATAAGCCCTCTTGAGCAAGTATTCTTGTGCAAGAGGCCCAGTGTCGACAGCCAAGTTAATTTCTTGCACAAGAAAGCCCGAGGGCGAAAATGGCCTTCGGCGCTTTCTTCCGCAAGAGAGCGTCTACACTGGCACGGATGCTGTTTGCCAAAAGATGTCTTTTGTGCAAAAGTATCCGTGCCAGTGTCGACGCTCTCTTGCACAAATACTTTTAATGGGAAAACTTTTCCGTTAAAAG